TCTAACCATTAGGGTGTTTCTGGCCCCCCATGTGGCGTTGCACTGACCTTGCCTTGCGCGTCGTAGATTGCTCTCGCGTCGCAACCGACGAATGCCCCAGGAAGGCTGATACGTGACTTCTTGCAATGCTTGCGAATCGTGACATCATTTGGCCCCTCTCACGAGCGCCGTTGCGCGTCCTTATTGGGCGCGCGTCGTGCAGGCGCGAAGCCCTTTCTATTCGTCGCCCCCAATGGCATTCATTCACGCCCGGCGCAGTCGGGCAAATACTCTCGCTCACACTCACTCGCTCATTCACAGGCGGTCGCACCGCGCGCCCTCTCGCACCTGCGCGCTCACACCGCGCGCTCGCTCACACACAGGCGCATTCACGCTCACCCACAGTCAACCACAACCGATCGCGCACGCACGCGCTCATCCTTTCACACACTTACTCTCTCAGACAGGCACTCATTCACTACATGTTTCACAAGCGTTTACAATCATAATGATTCGCACTGGCTAACACATTTACGCGCGCTCGGCCCCGCCCATTCACACGCACTGGCGTTCATACAACTCGTGCGCACTCGCATGCTTGCGCGCTGACACCAACGTACACGAAACACACACTCACTTACCCACACCGTTACACAAATCAACGCATTCATTCGCACTCGTTACCGCTGGCTCACACTCGCGCACGCCTGCGCGCACGCATGCAACCACCCGTACTGTACGACACCCAATCACTCCATATCGCACATGCACTCTCGTATACACCCCCTTTCGCACAGGGCAAGGCACGACGCGCCTTTTTAACCAGAGCGCGTGGTTATATGAACTGCGTCGGGCCCCATCATGGGGCCGTTTGGGGGGGGGGGCTGGGGGCGCGCGGGTCGCCCGCGCAGTCATCCCGGGGACCTCGATGGACTCGGGCTTGCTCCAGAAAGGGCCCCGAAGACCAACAGACACGTGTAAACGCAGCCTCTAGCCTCCCTCCTGCCTCAACCCCGTCGTCTTAGCCATCTTGGCTCCAAGCAGTGTGCTTTGCGCTCCTGGCGTCTTAGCGTTCCGCAGAACTCGGCCTGTGACACGGGGTGCCATGAGCGGCGCCGTTGGACGCGGTGGGCCCCGTGGTAGGGGCGGGGGCAAGAGGGCCCGCGGCGGCCGCAGCGCAGCTGACCTCTCGAGCGCGGGAGACGACATGAGCGCCATGTCTGTTGTGACCGAGGGGCGCGCGTCAGACAAGAGACGGCGCAGGATCGGGCAGCTCATAGAGGCAGAGGGTCGAGACAAGAAGCTCGGCCCGCGCGTCGCCGTGGAGACCGACGTCAGCACCTCCTGCGATCTCTGCGGGCAAGCACTGCCAGTGGGGCAGATGCCCGTTCACGAAGGACCGTTCGACATCCTCTCTGTATCTCTCTCTCTCTCTCTCTCTCTCTCTCTCTCTCTCTCTCTCTATCTCTCTCTTTCCCTTATCTCTCTCTCTCTCTTCTCTCTCTCTCTCCTCTCTCTCTCTCTCGTTCTCTTCTTTCTCTCTTTCTCTCTCTCTCCCTCTTCTCTCTCTCTCCTCTCTCTCTCTCTCTCTCTCTCTCTCTTTGTTTTCTCTCTCTCTCTCTCTCTCTTCTCCTCTCTCTCTCTACGCTCTCTCTCTCTTCTCTCTCTCGCCTCTCTCTCTCTCTCTCTCTCTCTCTCTTCTCGTCCTCTCTTTGGTTCTCTCTCTCTCTCTCTCTCTCTCTCTCTCTTCTCCCTCTTCTCTCTCTCCTCGCTCTCTTCTCTTCCTCTCTCTCTCTCCTCTCTCTCAGCTCTCTCTCTCTCTCTCTTCGTTATCCTCCTCTCTCTCTCCTCTCTCTCTTCTCTCTTTCTCTGCTCCTTACCTCCTCCTTCTCCCCCCCTCCTCCTCCTCCTCCTCCTCCCCCTCCTCCTCTTCCTCCTCCTCCTCGGGGGCCCTGCGAACAGGGGGAACCCTGCAGGCCTGCCCCCCCGCTCTTCCTTTCCCCCGCTATATCCCCCGCCCCCCTCGGCCCTCCGCCCGAGGAAAACCCAGCAGTGGTGATCCACGACGCCGCGGCGGGGCAGAACGTCTTGATCTGCGCCAAGCACGCCGCCGTGCACCTTCGCACCTCCGGCATGATTCCCATCAGCGAGGCGATCCAGAATGCAACGAGGGATTCAGCTCCAACAGACGAGGCAGAACGGAGCCTGAACAAAGCCGCAACCGCAATACCATTCGTTCAGCAAGCAGTGGGCCATACTTTGACTGCCGACGTCTCAAGCATTCGCCGTTTCACAGCCCTCAACAAAGACGAATGGGAATACTTGCGCCAATGCAAAATGACAATGAGATGCCCTTGTCCATCACATCCGACGGCTTGGGTGCACCGTGAGGACGGTCGGGACACATGGAAAAGGTGCGGTTATTCTTCTACGCCCCTTGCTCTGGATTCAGGACCGCGGAGGTGCGCTTCGGCGCCTTTACGACTACAATGACGCCAATCATGTCGCAGACTGACCACCTCTACAATGGCCGAGCACATGCGTTGATGGCTTACTCGGCTACTTCCGACCTTACTACGTCAGGGCTCATCGGCTTCGAGAACTGGAACTTGAATACCCTAGGCGCCAGCGCCGCCAGTCAACGGCCAGAAGGAGCGCAAGTCGCCCACCCGTTGGGCTACGAGACCGACCCACCGCTCGACGGCGGCGCGGACGTGCACATGGGCCCCACCGGTGGGCGATCGGCGGGCGGCACGGCCAGCGGCGGACCAGGAACCTTGCTGAGCCCGATGGCAGGTGTCATCGCGGTGTCGCCGACGCCAGCGCCAGGGCTTGCTTTTTTTGGAGCTGCGGCTGGGTGGCCTCAGGTCGGCACCGCCTCATTCGACTCGCCACCTGCTGGAGCTGGGCTCGCCATTATACCCGAGGCGTCCGACGAGCAGGTGGAAGCGTTAATGGTGCTCGGCGCTGAGGCGGCGGCGAGTTCGCCGACTGCGCCAGATGCGGGGGCCGTCGGCGTAGCACTGAGGATGAAACAGTCGAGACAAGATAAGGCAATCGATGAGAAGAGCGTCTCGTCGGTGTCTGGAGGTGGGAAACCAAATGCAACGAAGTGCATCGATCCCTTGGCGCCCGACGTGGGCATGTCGTCAGGGACCTTGGGGAACATCTTCCATCATGCATCCAAGTACGCCTTGAAGCTCGGCGGCGATACCACAGTCGACCCACGCATCAAAGATCTCGAATTGCACTTGCAAGCGTTCGGGAAGTGCCAAAGGTTCAACGAACGCCATCGTGACCAGTATACCTACAGCGCTCTGGTCCAGACCGCGAAGGAGCTGCAGACGGAGGGGGTCGCCTTGAACTCGGCGGCTTTGGAAGTAATTTGGCTTCAACGGGTGAAGGCAATGAAGGCAGCTATGGAGGAGACGCCCGAGTGTGCGACAGCACTGTTCAAAGCTTGCGTTCCTCTGGAGTCGGGCTCACCAGAACAACCGAAGCACGAGATCAAGCCAGATGACGTCGCGCTCCATTTGCTGGGCGCGGAGGATCCGCATAGGCTCCTGGAGGCCTTCTTCGAGAGTTTCGCGGAGTTCTACCTCGAGTGCTTGACGAAGCAGCATGCCCACATCGATGTCATGAGCAACCTGCTGGCCGATTACTGCAAGAATGTGATGAAGAACGCGGCGTTAGTGAACGAAACAGTGCGAGTCTTCATTGCAAGGCTCGACATGCCGCTGCAAGCCTTGCAGATCGCTGGGAACATGCAGGACATATGTTGCAACGAGCTCGAGGAGAAGTGCAAGATGGTGAAGAACCTTGCAGATACCAGGAGCGAGTGCAGATTGACTCGTGCATTTGCCAATGCAGCGCAAACGATCGATCAGTATGCGAAGGCTACGGTCGAAGCGCACGCGACGCTCCAAGTATACGATATCAACAAGACGCCTTGCCAACCAATTCTCGACGACTTGGAAGATGCCTTGCCAGAAAAGGGCTCCGTGGAAGAATCTGAGATCATCCAGCTGATGGAGGCGTCTAACAACTGCTATTCAACTGCAGCTAAGACTGTTCACCGCTTTGGCCAAGGATCTCGCGTGGGCGCGTACATCGAGGCTGGGATCGCCGGCAAGGTGGAGCGGTACTACGCCATCGTGAAGAACTCGCCGTCGCAGGAGCGGGACGCCCTGAATGCAGCCATCACGCAACTCGTCATGACAACGTCGGCGCAGTTTCCTCAGAAACTCTGTGGTGCCCATGTACCAGGAGCTCAAGGACAACGCGGAGTCGGCCCAGGCGTCCTCGACGGTGGGGGCCTTCTCCGAACGCACGCAGGCGGTGATCAACACGCAGGGCGACATTCCACTGGAGAGCCTGGACGACCTTTCGGTGCTTGCGAAGGCGCGCGCGGGCATGCTGGTCGACGAGGGCGTCCACAACCAGATCCAAGCTCTGTTGCGCCGCATGTCCGACACCTGCATGTCGACAGGGCTTGGCGAGATCACCGTCGCCAAGATCGCGGAGACCATGGAGACATTCAAGAGTACGGTCGTCTCCGAGAAGGAGTGCAACTTGCTTCATTGGTCTGAACCCATGCTGGTGCTTTCCGCCGCGCGGAAGGCCATCGGCGAGGCGGAGCGTATCGCGGGGGCAGGGCCGACGGACAGGTTGCTGAAGCAGACGACGGAGTTCCAGAAGTACGTGAACCTGAACGTGTTCTCCAACAAGTTGAAGAAGGCCGCCCAGTCTTTTGGTGAGTTGGGCGTGCTTGACTGCGAGGGTACCCAAGCTTTGAGTATGCTGATGTCGGAGGCCGCAGACGTTGCCAAGACAATCCTCGAGAAAGGCATGACTGACACCCAGACGGCTTTCGAGGCGCACCTGAAGTGTCTCGTCGACGAGCTCGAGCCGAACGCGGGCGGCATGAACGACAGGGGCCACTGCATGGACGGAATCTTCCCTGGTGCCAAGAGGAACTGGAAGCAGTTCGCAAGCTACGTCAGCGCGAAGTTTCTCGGGGTGAAGGTCGGGCCGAAGCTCCGCGCCAAGGTCACCCTGATCGAGGAGGTGGATCACCTTCGAAACACTACGTCGTGCTCCGTCGCCCTCCATATGCTTCTTATCTTCCTTACTCTTATTTTTCCTCCTCCGTGAAGCCGGCCTCCCTCCTCCTCCTCCTCCTCCTCCTCCTCCTCCTCCTCCTCCCCCTCCTCATCCTCCTCCCCCTCTTCGTTTTTTTGCTCTGCAAAGGCGGTCAATCAGTCTGGCCAGCAGCTCGCGGTCTTCGACGGGGCTGCCTCCCCAGTGGCTATGTCTGCCCCCCAGACATCTTTCGTGGAGACCGCTCGTGCGACCTACGCAGTGTGCGTGATCACGAATGCATTCGAGAAAGCGACGGACATTGCGCGACGCACGATTGCTATCAACACGGCGCACAACTGGGTGGTTAACTACTCGAAGGACTTCCCAGAAAAATTGTACCCCGAGGCCTTGAAAAAGAAGGTTGCGCCAATCGTCGGGTGATGTGGTGCGTGACGCTTAGCCAGTCCACGTGCCGCGCGTCGCGGACGGGCCGAGAATACAGCACCATCGCCACCTCTTTTGACACGCGTTGATGTGGACCACCGCTCTCTCCTTTTCTGGTCCAAGTGCTCGCCGAGCGTGAGGTTCGGCATTGCGGCAATTGGCCGTGGCTTTCTAGACGGACTTCGTGCGTGGCCATGGCACAAGCATGCAAGCAAGGTTTGATCAGCGTGTTGTGTTGACTTTTTAACGTTGGCTTGTGGCGAGCGGGTGCAAAACAGTGTTCATGACAGGTCTCGCCGAATCTCTTGTAAATCATGTCAGGCTTTGCCAATCCGCCGCCCTGCTCCACGCGGTCCTGAAACGTCTGTGATCGGCAGTTGGCAGGGGGTTGGCTATCGTTGCGTTTGCCTTGGGGGGATGGGGGGTAGTTTGGGAACCTAGGCAGGGGTTTGCGTAGGTAAGTGGGCGTGGTTTGCGAGCGCTGGTTCGTTGATATCCCTCCTGACTGGCGCCTCCCACTCCAACCAAGCCCGAAACGTCTGGCTGGTAGGATGTTCGCGTGGCGCAGGTATCAAAGTACGCGCCCACTGAAAGCATGTGCCCATGTCCACAAAACCCAACTCCCGCCTCTGCGGTCCATGTGAGATCGGCTGCACTGGGGGCGCGGGCTTCCTCTCGCGCTCGACTGGGCCCGCTGAGCTGCACACGTGTTTCGGCATGTAAGTTAACGCGCCTGGCGCCTCACCTTCGGCGCTCACGCCGCCATCGCCTTCCACCGCGCCTGGGCCCCCGCGCCCTCCCCGACCTTCGCGCGTGCCCGAAAAAAGGCAACCCGACTAGCTCGCTGGTGGCATTTTGATGTTGCCCTCCCCTCGAAAGAAGGATGCCGCGTGATCGCCGCGTTCGGGCGCCTGTCTGTGGGCGGCAATGTGTGGCCACCACCCCTGGGCGTCCGTGGGTGGCCGTGGCATGTGACCGCCTCTCGAAGCACGCCCATGGACTGGTTGTGCGTGACGGCGACATGCGATAGCATGCGTGCGGGGTTGTTTTTGGGTTTCAAGTCACCAATTGTTTTCAAATGAGTATTGGTTGCATACAGAGCGTCGCACCGCTACCACGACATTCGACCCATCCTTCCTACTACACCATGATAATACAAATCTTGCCGATATCCGCACATCGCCATGGCTACCAAGCCCGCCATCGCCACCACTACGGCGTATTCGTTACACTGCGACTCTGTTCGCCAGGACGTCCAGATACTGCGCTAGATTTAGCATCACCATATCAGCGTGCTCGTTCGCAGCGCCTCCTCGGTCGCCGCGGTTAGCATTGCTGATATCGCTACGCCATACCCACGCCACACTTCCTAGAAGACTCTAACGGATGACGGGGGGAGACGCGTTTGCTCTTGAACTGAAGCGCAAAAGCCGACTGCCAACAATCACACAACCAACACACACAACACATGGCGAAAACCTAGGGGGCGGGTCGTGAATAATACCGCGCGTTCCGCATGGCGCGCTATCCATGATCCGTCGAGCCTTTGGTTGCAAATCGTCATTTGGCGCGACATTCATTGCGCCCGCTGTGGTCGAATGCGCGTTCTCGTCGCACCCGAACCAAGCGTCCATCCGTCGACGGCATGCGCGAGTGCGTTGGGTCCTGCCACCCTCATCAACTGCGCTTGGAACCGCCCTGCCCCTTCAGTTCTGCTATTGTGTGCGCGGTGAGCTAGCGAGTATACATCATGCGCGCCGTACCAAATCGTTCGCACAATGTAGATTTCCTTACCAAAAAATAAGATTGTTTTGGCGGACGGGGATTGTTATTGCAATTTCTCGTTGATTGTTTTAAGGGTTCTTGTGGAATCGCCCGATAAGGACTTTGCTGATAGGTTGCATTTCTTATTTCCAGGTTTGGGCTTAGTGGGGCGGCGCCCCACATGGGACGAGGAGGAGGAGGAGGAGGAGGGAGGAGGGAGGAGGGAGGAGGAGGAGGGGGGAGGGAGGAGGGAGGAGGGAGGAGGAGGAGGAGGAGGAGGGTGGATGCGGAAGTGGAAGGTGAGGAGGTAGGAGGAGGCGGAGGAGGAGTAGGAGGAGGAGGAGGAGGAGGTAGGGAGGAGGAGGAGTAGGAGGAGGAGGAGGAGGAGGAGGAGGAGGAGGAGGAGGGAGCGAGGAGTAGGGAGGAGGAGGAGGAGGAGGAGGAGGAGGAGGAGGAGGAGGAGGAGGAGGAGGAGGAGGAGGGAGGAGGAGGAGGAGGAGGGGAGGAGGAGGAGGAGGAGGAGGCAGGAGGATGAGGAGGAGGAGGAGGGGAGGAGGAGAGGAGGAGGAGGAGAGAGGAGGAGGAAGGAGGAGGAGGAGGAGAGGAAAGAGGAGGAGGAGGAGGAGGAGGAGTGAGGAAGGAGGAGGAGGAGGAGGAGGAGGAGGAGGAGGAGGAGGAGGAGAAGGAGGAGGAGGTAGGCGGAGGAGGAGGAGGAGGAGGAGGAGGAGGAGGAGGAGGAGGAGGAGGAGGAGGAGGAGGAGGAGAGGAGGAGGAGGAGGAGGAGGAGGAGGAAGAAGAAAAAGAAGAAGAAGAGGAGGAGGAGGAGGAGGAGGAGGAGGAGGGAGGAGGAGGAGGAAGGAGGGAGGAGGAGGAGGAGGAGGGAGAGGAGGGAGGAGGAGGAGGAGGAGGAGGAGGCGGCGGAGGTAGGAGGAGGAGGACGAGGAGGAGGAAGAGGAGGAGGAGGAGAGGAGGAGGAGGAGGAGGAGGGAGGAGGAGGAGGAGGACGAGGAGGAGGAGGAGGATGAGCCGCGGCGAGGGGGCCTCGCGACGCAGCAAATCATGTGAGCCCGGCGTGCCCTGTGAGTTCTGTCTTCAGCGTTGATTCGCGTCGATTGGCGTCTGACGTCGGTCTGCGTTGACTAGCGTCGCTTGTCGTAGAAGAAAAGCGCCTTAAACAAAAACTGTTGGCGCTCCGCGCGGATTTCTTGGATCCGCGCCTCCGGCGCCGCCCCTGGCGGGCTCCGCGCGCCAGGGAGGGGTGTCCCTCGCGGGTCCAAGAAAGCCGCGCGGAGCGCCAAAAGTTTATGTTGATGCCTGTTTCTCTTCTTCTGGATAGCGCCGATATGGCGTCGGTCTGCGTCGATGTCGCGCCGATTTAGCGTCGATCAGCGCCGAGTTAACGTCGACGAGCGTCGATATCGCAAGAGCCGACAGGAAGGCACGGGCGGCTCCCGTGAGGTGCCACCGAGGGCCACGCGGAGGAGCGCGGGCGGCGGGCTCGGAGGGGTGGCCGAGGCGGATCGGGTGGCCACCCGCCGCGCCCGAAGGCGTCCCGCCGGCGCTCGCCGAGAGGTGCTGCCTGCCGCCTGCCCTGCCCCTGCGCCCCGCCAGATCGTTGCCTTCCCCGGCCACTCCAACGCCGTGGCCATGAAGGGCACGGGTGGGTGAGCGTCAGGAGGGGAAAATAACACAGACACAATCAGTCGTCGATTCCCCAGAAAATATGGAAAATATGGGAAGTGGGGGGGGAAAAGAAGCCCAGAACATATGGGAAAATATGGGGAATCTGGTTATTTGTGTGTATGTGTGTGTGTGTGTGTGTGTGTGTGTGTGTGTGTGTGTGTGTGTGTGTGTGTGTGTGTGTGTGTGTGTGTGTGTGTGTGTGTGTGTGTGTGTGTGTGTGTGTGTGTGTGTGTGTGCGTGCGTGCGTGCGTGCGTGCGTGTGTGTGTGTGTGTGTGTGTGTCTGTGTGTCTGTGTGTCTGTGTGTGTGTGTGTGTCCCAGTTCCCTTTCAGAGTGACCCTGCACCTCCACCTTCCATGCCTCCCGACCTCCGCGGAAGGTGCGGAGGAGTTCAGCGCAACTCGTGGAAAGCCTGAGCACCTCAAGGAAAGCAACATAATTAGATCATCTCGAAACAGGGGCGGAACGTTAGGGCGGAAGGCCCGGAAGATCGAGGGGGAGGGGGGAAGAGATTGTCGCCTCTCGTTATTTGTGCTTATCTATTTGCGTGTCCTTGGGCCCCTCGATATAGGGGTCGACGCCTCTTCTGTGCAGCGTGCCCCGCGGCCGGCGCGAGGCCCGCGCCCGGTCCAGGGGGGCGCCCCTGGCGCGGCGGGGGGCCGGCGGCTTCGCTGGGAGCAGTGCGGGCGCGGACCGTGCCGGGGCGGCGGAGGGCGGAGGACTGCAGGAGGGGGAAGAAGAACACAGAGACACAATCAGCCGTCGATTCCCAGGAAAATCTGGAAAACTATGGGGAGTGGGGGGAAGACACAAAAACACCCAGAACATATGGGAATCTATGGGAAAACCAGGAGTCAGGAGTCAGGAGGGGGAAGAACACACAGACACAATGAGTCGTCGATTCCAAGGAAAATGTGGAAAACTGTGTGGAGTGTGGGGGAAGACGGAAACCCAGGAAATGTGGGAAAATCAGAAGAATCCTGTGATTCGTGTGTATTTATTTGTGTGCCCCAGGGCCCCTTCAAGGAGGAGAGATGCTCGGGGGTCAAATGCGGGCTCAGGCTTATGATGCTCCAACCTACTTTAGCCTTGATCACCAGGAAGAATTTCGAGCGCCCAAACAAGTACCGAAACTCTAGGGTTTTCACGTGTCGGGCCCTGGGAGACACTCGCCCGACACTGTTTCGACACTCTTTTGACACTGTTGCCAGGGCGGCGGAGGGCGGAGGACTGCAGGAGGGGAACACACAGACACAATTAGTCGTCGATTCCCAGGAAAATCTGGAAATCTATGTGGAATGGGGGGGAAGACAAAAACACCCAGAACATATGGGAATCTATGGGAAAACCAGGAGTCAGGAGTCAGGAGGGGAAAGAACATACAGACACAATTAGTTGTCGATTCCCAGAAACTATGGGAAAACATATGTGGAGTGGGCGGGGGGGAAAGACAGACACCCAGGAAATGTGGGAACATCTGCGGAATCCTGTGATTTGTGTGTATTTATTGGTGTG